GTTTAAGTAGTAACCAGCACACGCTGTATGCAACTTCTAACAGCGTGGGAGACGAGAGGCCGCACTTGTTGGATCCAGGAATCAGGCGAGTAGTATTAAAAAAAAAATATATATATTTTATGTTCCCGGGGACATTTTTAAGGAAGACATTACAATCACAATACAATTCAAGACAAGATGGTAAGGAGGGCCCTGCCCCTGAGGGCTTACAATCTAAAAGATCATTAACTTGAATGGGTGGCAGTTGCTGCTTGTAACATGTGCAGATATTAACACTGGTGCTGTATATAGTAGCGGCCCCCACGGGACTAAAAAATTTGTCCAGTGGCCCCTGAGTAAATTGAGTTTGAGACCCCTGCTCTAGACCAATTGTTCACTTGCCTATGTTTTCCCCTCCTGATCCACCTTCAAATCACCTCATTATCCAGTGCTGCTTTGTTTATTTTCGGAGCCACTTCTGGGCTTGTTTCTATTTTCCCGGTGGTGTACCTTTTATTCTGTCATGGAGGAGAGACTTGAGTGATTTCAAGCCTACACTCCATGGTGGTTCTGGAGGGGTGCTGCCGCACCAAAAGAAGGAGTGCAAAAGCGGGTCTAAAGCCACTGATCCACCATGGAGGCCCACCACATATCAATACATTATACAGCAACGCAGAATAATATGAAGCTACCTTCTGTATTGCTCTAGGATGGTGGCCTGATGTCTCCAGGGTCTCAGGAGGGCTGTGCGGGGTCTCAGGAGGGCTGTGCGGGGTCTCAGGTGGGCTGTGGGGAGTCTCAGGTGGGCTGTGGGGAGTCTCAGGTGGGCTGTGGGGAGTCTCAGGTGGGCTGTGGGGAGTCTCAAGTGGGCTGTGGGGAGTCTTAAGTGGGCTGTTGGGGTCTCAAGTTGGGCTCTGAGGATTATTACTATTAATGTTTTATTTTGTTTTACTTTGTTTTACTTTTTATCAGTTTTTTTTCTGTTTCATTTCTTTTATTATTTTTTTCACTTAACTTTATTGCAATCACACAGGGGCTAACAAGCTCACAACGTTACCTGACTGCGAGCGAGGTGATGTGCTGTTCCGACAGGGCAAACAAGGTGACCCTATTATTCATAGGGGCATCGGGCACCTATGAATAATAGGGGGCACGACGCTGCAGTGCTGTCCTCTGCAAAGGCTCCCTCCCACAGCCATGAATGGGCCCGGGGCAAGCGCCCTCTTTGCCCTGCGTTAAAGACGGCCCTGGCTCTGGACTTAGGAAGGCACTGGACTCGGGACTTAGGAAGGCACTGGACTCGGGACTAAAAATAGAAGTATACTCACAGATAATACAAGCCCTCCCCAGCCCCTGCTACCTGATTGCCCACTCTGTCCCCGTGCAGCCTTCCGATCCTGGTCACTGGAAGGACACCCTGCCTCCTGCAGAGCTCGCACTGAGGCATGTACTGTACCGATCATCCAGGGCCAGGCAGGCACATGTACGTCTGAAGGGATGCCAGCGATGTCCTGTTTAATAAAACATCGGCGTCAGTGAAAAAATTGAGCTCTGCTGCAGTCGTCACCGATGTTTTATCAAACAGCATCCCCGGCATGCCTTTAGACGGGCATGTTCCATGCACTTCTCTGGATGTTCTTCAGACCGGTGTTGAACACCGGTGCCCAGGAGCATGTGCCCCCTATCCTCCCCCCTTATCTACGCCCCTGGAAGACAGATAGACTGGTAGGTCAAGGTACTACGCAGGTTGCAGCAATGCTAGGTAGGTGACATGGGGTCCCTCAGGATGTGGAATCTAAGGGCCAGCTGGTGTTCACCAGAGCTCCTGATGGTGGAGATGGGCTTGGGTGCATGCTGACCCCAAGTCACAATCCCAGGTTCACCCAACTCACCTAACAGTCAACAATGGTTGACAAGGCCAGAGTTCTGGACAGGTTGCAGACACCCACACAACATAGAAAACAGGCAGGGACAGGCAGATGACTAGGACTTCCAGGGAAAATCCAATAGACAGGGACAGACTGAAGACAAAGATTTCCAGGGACCAGCCAAGGACCAGTACACAGATAA